CATACGAGACATTGATGGTCTATTCCACAATCTGCCCCTGGCCTTGTTTTCACTGATGATATGGAGCTTTTCCATAGTCTCTTTCTGCAGATGTAGTCAATTTTATTTCTTTGTGTTCCATTTGGTGAGGTCCATATGTATAATCGTCTTTTACGCTGTCTAAAGGAGGTATTTGAAATGAACAAACCACTGATTTTGCAGAATTCCATCATGCGATATCCAGTATCATTTCTATCCAAGGCCATATTTTTAACTACTTATCCTTCCTCATTGTTCCCAAACTTTGCATTCAAATCACCAGTAATGATCAATACATCTTGATTGCATGTTTGATAAATTTCAGATTGAAGAAGTTGGTATAATTCTTCTGTTTCGTTCTCTTTGGCTTTAGTGTTGGTGCGTAAATTTGAATAATAGTAGTATTAACTGGGCTTCCATGTAGGTGCATGGATGTTATGGATTAAAGTGGTTGTTGGCCCAAAAGATTGTGTTTTGTACATTAGGCAGCTTGTAAACTTTGTTGTCATTTTTTTCTTAAAGAATTTACTATGACTTAACACAGTAAATTTATTACAGTTCTTTTTATTGGTAAACATGAATAACATTGCTAATGAAAAATTTGGTTTATATATATCAGAATTGTGGAAACAATAGGACTTTTTAATGGTCTTTAGTTCCTTTGCTAAGATTTAAAAAATGCCGTAAAACCAGAGAGTCATGTGATTAATCTAAGGAAATCTGAGACTCAACTTCTGTCTCAAGGCACTTACATGACGGGGTGATGTGGGCAGTGAAAGCTGGGTGTGTAAGGGAGGAGAGAGCCACATGATCCCGTGCTAGGGGAGCCTTTTGGGAGAACGTGGATTTCAGGTGGGATTTGAAGAATGGGTTTGATTTCAAGAAGAAGAGACAAAAAGTTTTGTTGCAGTTTTTTTTTTGCACGAGCAAAGGCTCAGAGATGGGAATTATTTTATTCTTCCTTCTTGCTTACCTCCTTTCTTTACTTATTGCCTTTAACAGACAAGTATTTATGAATCCTTGCTATGTGGTAGACACTGGGAACACAGAAGTGATAAGTTAAAATCCATGTCTTAAGGTGACTTTCAGAGAGAGATTTTTAGAGTGACTTTAGAAATAAATGTGTATTTAGAGCAGAGAGAAATTGAGATTGTGGAAATACATGATTGTTTAGCACAGTACTGTTCATTGGAAATACGAATCACATATGAGAGGAAACAGGTGAAATGAATTTTTAGAATATATTTTATCTAAATATATCTAAAATACGTCAACACGCAATCACAGTGTTGTTGTTGTTAAGTGCTGTCCAGCCAGTTCCATTTCATAGCCACCCTGTATAGGGTTTCCAAGGCTGTGGACGTTTGCGGGAGCAGAAAACTTCATCTTTCTCCCAGTAATCACTCTAGAAATCATTAATGAGATATTTCACATTCTTTTTTTTGTGCACTAAGCCTTTAAAATCAGATGTGCAATTTGCTAAAAGCACATTTCAATTTGAACTAGCCACATTTCAAATGTTCGGTTGAGTCTTATAGCTATTATTTGGCATAGTTTAGGTCTGGTTGAATATAACATTTGTAACTTCCTATTTGGGACTAATTTCAAACTTATTAAAAGAATGCAATGAAAACCTGTTGTCCAGATCTGTTATTAACATTTTCTTCACCTTCTCATCTTGACTCTGCCTCTTTTTGTAATTTCTTTTTCTGAATTATTTGAGAGTCACTTATGGTCCTTTATCTTTATATACTGCAATGAAGAATCGATGTATACTTTTACATAATCACATTATAGTTGTTAATACATTAACTTGATTCAGTTTATCATTCGAATTGCAATTTTGTCAGTTGATCTGATTGAATGTCTTAATCTGGAACATTTCCACAGTGTTTCTTTTATGGCATATTTTAAGAATACAGTTTCTCTCCTGATCTCCTTTCCCCACTTTTCCTTAATAGAACATTCTTCATGTGGTATTTATCTGACATTTCCTTATGATTATATTGAAGTTATGTATTCTTGACCAGAATACTGCATAGGGGATATTGTGTCCTTAGATTATCATATTTGGACGCCCATGATGTCTGTCTTTCATGTTGTTAAGAGCTGTCTAGTCAGTTCCGACTCATACCAACCCCATATAGGGTTTCCAAGAAACCACTGGTGGGTTTGAACCTCTGACCTTGTTCTGCAGTGTCACACCAGGACTTACGTGTTGTTGCTAAGTGCCGTTTAGTTGGTTCTGACTCATAGTGACCCTGTATATGGGGGGTGGGGGTGGTCCAAACACTTTCACAGGTGTTATTAATTCTGAGCACCTGGTAACTGTTGAGATGTATAATTATTTATTTTTTTCTGCATTATTTGAAAGTCACTTACGGTTCTTTAACCTTGAATACTGAAATGAAGAATAAGTATAT